AAGTTTGTATACAACTATCACAAGAAAGATGGATATCCCCAACAGAGCTCTAGTGAAAATAATTGCTCCTTCTCAAGTAAAAAGACAGACACAAATTAGTATCTACAAGTGTAACTTCTGACATTTAAATTTGAAAAGGAACTGCATCAGAAGTAGAGAAAAGAAAAATCTATCATGGGATATTATTACATTTTTGTGACTAACTTTATTCTAGATCATTAGAAAAGTTTAGTGTTCTCGAAATCAATGATGTTTTAGAAATCTAACTGTATTCTACATTGCACAACTAAGACATAAGCTTCTACACTTTTAATAATAAATCATTTCTAATATGAAAATCAATTGTATTTTCAATTTATTTAAAACATTTCTCAAATTATTCAAGTATGCTTTCTGATTAAGAAACAATATAGGACAAACATAGAGTGTCAATAACAAATGTTGAAAAGTTTTATAAACATGGACACATGCACTGGAAGCTTTTGTCTGATTTTCTTATGTTCTAGAATTTGTAATACTCAAGGCCTCACATACATGACTATAAATTAAAAACTTTACCAGAAATTTTTTACTATTTGCATAAATCATTGTTTTCGATATTTATATGAACTAAAAATATTTCAGATTCCTACATTTGTTAGGAAATCGTACATAATGGTATACAAGCACTTTCAACTAAAGCCTAAATCAAAGAGATGAAAACAATCTTAGTTTATTTTTTACTCATCCACATCAACCTAACCTACCCCTAGTATTGACGATGCTTGTTTTGCAACTCAGGAGTGAAACTAATGATCACTTGTTTTTTCAATGCCAGTTTACAAAACAAGTATGGCAAACTGTTTGTGACATGGAAGGAATTCCTTTATTTTATTCTTGGCAAGGGCTATTAGCTTGGATGGGGAAAGGGATTAGAAGGAAGTCTCCATACTGTGCTCTTACCAAACTTGCCTAGAATGGTATTGTGTATCATGTTTGAAGAGAGAGGAACAACAGAATTCATAGGTAGCAGTTCAAATTCGTTTCACAAATTCATCTGTGAATGATATTCTTTTTGATGTGAGGAACAAGGTTTTAGCTTTTGTAGCACCAAAGTCCTCTTCATTGCCATGTCTATAGCATTGTAGTGGGGGGGGGTTTGTAGAGGTTCTAAAATCACTAGTTTAGTCTTAGATAGATGAATTGTTTCTTTGATTGGAGTTGTAATTGATTATAGTAGCAAATGACTTGCTGCTTATGTGTACATACTGGTTTTATTGAATAAATAAAACTTTACATTTCATGAAAAAAAAAAAAAGAAGTTTCAAATAAAACTTGAAACATACTTGTTATTCCAAGACATTTTGATGCAAATGAGGAAGAAAATAATATATTTACTAGGATTTTATTATGATTATAAATATATAGGAATTAAATGGAAATATTACTAATAGCTTATATTTATTAGGATTAGTTATTATCTTTCAATAAATATTCAATTGGGAGTCTAATTAGGAAGTAAGTCTAATTTGGGTTTTAGCTTTTATATTTAAATGTAGGTTGTATTAGGGTTATTCAGTTAAGATGTTTATGAATTGAAATTATCTTCTAGCAATCCCTAATTCTGCTATTCTTTTCCCACCCTTGCCTCTATTTCTAAGTTCTATCCTCACCTTTGCTTTCTATTCTACAATAAATTGGTATCAAAGCTACCAAAATCCCACAAACTATAAGCTTTGATTTCCTTGAAAAAAAAAAAAAAACAAACAAACTGAGCCAATCCATAGATTTGTGAGATCCAACGTTGTTTTGTGGGAACTGATGCAGGAGCATTTGAATGGACAGTGCCGGAATTCAAAATCCATTTTCTGAGGTTTGTTTTGATAGGTCAGTGGCTTGAAATTGATTTTCTAGTTTAATGGAGTGAAATCATGGTCTCTTCTTTTATAGAGTTGTCGATAGAATGATCGAAGGAAGTTGGGTATTCCCTCAAAAACCCTCCTTCCTCAATTGATGAACTTCTCTCTATCCTATTACAATTAAGGAATTTCCTTTCAAAAGTGGAACAAAAGCCATGTCCATACTTAGAAAAGGCACTGCATCCATCAAAACAGGCTTTGGTTTTAGAACAACTTTTCATCATTCACATGCCTTTGTTAGAATTGTTGTTGCAGCTTGCATTCATGGGATAATGAGACATACTGCTCCAGATGCTCCATATGATGATGACAAAATGAAGGAGGTATTTAAATTAATTGTTTCATCATATTTGAGCATTTGTTTAATAATTGTGACAGTTCATATTATAATAGAAAAACAATTATGAGCGTTATGATTAGGGTTCAATCTTGTGCATTACTGTTGAATTTTGAGTGTGATGCCCTAATTATTGAAATGTTCCAACGTTTTCTATTATCTATTCGAGATTACCAGCCACAAGTTGTCTTTGACTATATGGAAACTATCATGACTCTTGTTGTACAAGAAAGTGAAGATATTCCTACGGAACTACTATCTCCATTGCTTTTGTGTGTGGAAAAAGATGATATGGTTGTTTTGCCTATTGCTCAAAAATCATCAGAAAAAGTGCTTGCAAACTGTACTGCTAAGCTTAAGCCTTATTTGAGAAAGGGTATAGCAGATAATTTTGTTACTGATGAAGAAATTCCAAACTCAACTATTTGCTATGGTATTCCCATACCCAAGGAAGACGATAGTAACTTAGTGACAAAAAATGATAGAGTGAAAGTTAAAGGAAACAATTTGGTGTTACTTGACTTCTCTTTTGTTGGGTTCTAAACAAAAATTCAAGCCAAATCAGTTACTTGAAGAGCTTCAACATTCAAAGGTCAATGATAGGGTGGAAAATAGAGAAGATGTTGACAAAATGGTATTCAAGAAACTATCAGAATTAGAGCCAAATGGTTTAGTGGAAACTGTGGAAGAAAATTTTGAGCTCCTCTTTGTCTTGCAAGCTGTTCAACCTGTTAAGTTCATTTTTTCTAAAGAATTTGATGCTAAACATCCTACTTTCGAAATCTATTTTGTTTGGTTTGAAGATTGAAGTCGAGTTACCAAAAGCACTGTAATTGTATTATTTTGTTACCTCAAAATTTGTATGGCTTCAACACTCTAAAACTTGAGGTCGAGCTTTCACCAAGTGGAGGAGAATGATGCACACAAGGAAGGAAAAATATATTTATTATGATTTTATTATGATTATGAATATATAAGAATTAAATGGAAATATTACTAATAGCTTATATTTATTAACATATGTTATTATCTTTCAAAAAAGATTCAATTAGGAGTCTAATTAGGAAGTAGGTCTAATTTGGGTTTTTAGCTTTTATATTTAAGCATGGGTTGTATTAGGATTATTCAATTGAAGTGTTTATGAATTGAAATTAGTTTCTAGAAATTCCTAATTTTGCTATTTTCTTCCCACCCTTGCCTCTGTTTCTAAGTTCCATCATCACCTTTACTTCCTGTTCTACATTACATTTAATATAAGTACCTGTGACAAAAAAAGGAGGCGCCATGGTTACACATGAACAGTTAAATATTAGGAAGGAGAAACTGAAATGAAATGAGTATAATTCATAAGAACTGCTAAAGGCATACTGTTTGGTGGAAATTCGTGTTATCCTTTACATGGGCCACCCAGAAGGATAAATATAAAGCTGTCCAGATACGATTCTAACGCATACTTCACTGGTCCTAATCTACAATCTTAAACAAAGCCTGGTGAAGGTGATATCAAAGCAAGTACAAAGTAAAGAATGAAAGAATATTGAGTGATTGAAGAGCCTAAATGGGTATTTTTCATATAAAATGAGTAAGTAAAGATGTTAAGAAGTATATCAATACTTACATGTCCATGTCCTCTAATGCAAGTTTGTTTGAAAAAATGCCGACGTTGTTATTCAAGGAGAACCTATCCCTATCCAGTTCAAAACCTTCTATCAACTTATGGTAAATATCGGAAGCAGAGAGGCCTGCGCTATTAGAGAAGAAAAACGGAAATTGGGCTTCAATTGTGCACAACTCATTGAAATCAGATACCTGTGCTCGTTCATTGAAGATAGAAAAGAGTAATTATATGGAGAGGAAGAGCTATTGGTACAAACAGAGGCATCAACATAGAGTGATCAATTCATCTATCTATTGCAATTTAAAACATACACAAGATGGTTAGAAGGATCCATTTTCCAATAAGCACCTTCAAGAAGAAGGGAACCATGAGGAATGGAGCACATATCCCTCTAAAGACTGGCATCAACCAGTCGAACACTATAGTTTGTGCTGTTCTCAACAAAGAATTTCGCCTGTTTTGTGACCAGAGTTTGTGCGATTATTCTTGCATACCAGTTTATACCCTGGCTCACCACACACAGCAGGATCGCTATTTAATCGAAAAAGGTATGTAATACTGAGGTTTCCACGAGGAGAAAAAGGGAGACGAGGCTTGTATTTAGCTCTAGCCATACAAGCATCAGGAAAGAAAGAGAAAGCAAGTACCATGAGGCTGAAAACTGAAAAGTACTTCGAGTTTTACTCTTAACATTCTTAAAGCTTGAGTAGGAAAGAAAACTAATGATAACAAAAAAATTTCTTTATACTGATAGCAATTAGCACTTCAATTCAAGGTGGGTAATTCTCAGAGGTAATAAAGCAAACACCTTCAATGCATTCTTCCTCAACTGGCAAGATGACCACATAAAGAAAGCATTCAAGTCGTCGAAACACGACTTTTGCATCC